TTATAAATATGGTCAGTAATGTTTTTTTTTTACACTAAAAGTAGTTGGTGCTGGAGTTTCAGCCTGAGGTTGATACTGCTGACTGTTTTGTCTGTAGAAGGTGATGGAGTATGTCTTGTACCTGCGACATGCCAAAGAAGGCAATTGCAGCTATTGATGGATGAACTTTCTCCGAGCAGTGGTGTCTGTAGCTGCTGACTGCCTCAAATCAATCTGTTCATTTAGCCTCTGTCACATTGATCATCTGAAAATGCACAATGCACTTTCTTTTGAGCACTGCATTGCTGTATAAATCACAAAACCAGCAACAGCCACTGGAACTACCCCTTATCCTAAAGAGGGTTTCTGGATAAGCATCTTTTATGTACAGTTTAGTTTTATTCATTTACATAAACATAAACTTACAAAGACAGACAGTTGGTATTAAAGGAGCGTCCTCCAAAGGTTTCATCGAAAGAAAACTAATTTAGGAAATGTTTACCTTCGTCATTTGACCATGACGTGTTTCCCTTCACGTACAAACACCCTGTATACCTGGCTAACTAGACTGTGGGATTTCTGGCAGATTGGTTGCAGCTTTCAGGGAGGTGAGTTATTAAGACGTATGTGACAGTGGCTGCACCATGGGAGAAGGTCTTCACTGTGGAACTCGCTTCAAAGTGTGAATAATTAGGATGGTTTTCCGTCTTAAGGGAAAAACCAGTAACAGCGTCCTGGAAGTACATTAACAGTGTGTCGTGCAGCTTTCTGACAAAAACAAATGGCTGCTGAATGCCACTGGAGAAACCAACGAGCTCTTTATCCTTCCTATTAAGAGCCAGAAATCCTTGTTAGACTGCATTCCACCAACTCTCAATTAATGTGCCTCAATACCTCGCACACGTCTGCCAGAGAATTTGTTAGAATTAGAGGGTGGTGAAATAAAGATGGACTGCAGTGGTGACTCTTTACTGCTGTGGTTAGGCCAAGGAGAATGGCAGTATGGCAGCACAACATGTGGGATCAAAGGATGTTTTTTTTATGATTCCACTTTCGTCAAGAAATTTTTAAAGCTTTAGCTCTTTAAAACGCTGAGGTTGGAGTCCTCGATTTAAGAGGCCTTTCAACTGTTTTGATCTGAACTGAACTAATGCTTTACCCCCACCATTTGGCCGAAATCTGCATTTGCAATCCTGACATCTTGTGGTTCACTGGTACAAAACGTATTTTTTGCAGCCCTCTTGGTGATGCTATTGTTAAGAATCACTGCTCTATAGACATTTTGGATATGACTGACAGAAAAATGCTTTGCTTACATAAGTCTGACCTGAGAAAAACATTCACAATATACAGTATTACTTCACTTTGTGTCCTTTAAATAAATGAATTGCTGAGACAATCTTCAGCCAAGTGATATGCATGAGCTTGACTTGCCTCACCTGTCTACTTTGTTTATAGTCAGGTTCATATTACTTTGCCTTTGCCCGTGGTGAGGTTTTCCAGAGAGTGACCACTTGGTGTGTGGTTCATATTGGATACAACAATATCAGGGTTGACAAGTCAAACATGAGAAATTCACATGAATAAAACTCAAAATGATGCAACGTATTTTGCAAATGGTGCCCTTCATCACAGAGATATGTCTATGCATGTGTGTGTGTCCCGTATGTCATTCTGTATTTAAGGGCCAGAGAGGAATGGAGGGAAAAGGACTGTGAATCATATGCCCACTCTATTTGTTGAAGCAGAGCTCTCTTGAGGCATGCCCAGAGTTCCATGGGCAACATGTACGCATACTGTTCATGAAGTTTGTTTGTGTGTGTGTGTTGTGTGAGTGTGTATTTACCCTGGCAAAGAGTACAAACCACACAGAAGAATAAATTAAAAGATGTGAAAGAACTGAAAGCTGATGAGTCTCCTTCTTTACAGAATCAAATTACAGAAAGTAAATTATGAATTACAATGAGGCTGTCTGTTTTAATGCACATAACAAGCAGCTTTTAGCTTCAGTGTGTGGCAAAGTACAACATAAAATGCATGACACATCATTAAAGAGCGTGTACTGTGAAGTCTGAAACACATTTATACAAACAGGGGAAACATAATAACCTTTTCATCTTACTGGAAAACACAACACTTGACTGTAAGACCAAAGAACCCAAGGTCTTAGAGAGCAGAGCATCTTATCTGTGTTTGTTCTGCACTCTGCATTCATTTATAAAGATGTTTTTTGGGCATAGAACCATCAATACATTTCCATCCACTTTGTCATGCTCATGTAAATTGGACCTTAGCATTTGCACCAATTATCATAATCATAAATAATTAACCATTACTCACAGCCCTTCAGCAGCAGGGCTAAAAAATTACTTTGAACGATGCTTTTATGATGTTTAGGTTATAAACAAATGAAAATGGTCTTTCATCTTGGAGGCAGAAATAAAATAATAACATAATATGCAATTTAACCACTTAGTTTGTGGGCAACAGCACTGGCTTGGTTTCTAATCAAAGAGGCTTCTTCGTGTCTGGTTGTTGGAAAACATCTCTACCCAGTGTAAGGACCTTGTACTTCATCACAAACTCAACGCACCTGTTGTTGACTTGACATTACTTTTCCCTTCTGACCAACAGATGTCATTTCACATTGAAATCATAATTCTTTGTAGTCCGCAATTTGTGATACACTGTTGTCTTCCTTTTTTTCTTTTTAAAACTTTAGCTCATCAAACCACTTAGGTTGGAGTCTTCGGTTCAGCTGGTCTCTTAACTTTTTGACTTTGAGGACCAATTTTGTCCCGGGGCCTGGAGTTGGTTAGATTAAGCTAATCGTTTGAATTGAGTCAGTCAATTTGCATTTAACTCAATATAATATTGACTTTTTACACATTCCACATTTTTATAGTGATAATTCTGATGAATTATCAAATTCAAATCTACACACTATGACAAGGTGACGAATACTGTATGTCAGTAAACCTGATGTGCTGTGTCAGAGCACAGTTTTTCAAACCAAGCCCTTCTTTCCACACATACACACCAATCACTAACCCTGTGATGGATGACCTATTGTGCCCACTGAGCCAGGACTGCTCCATTAGATTGACTCAAAAATGTGCTTCTCAGCCTCTTTTCCAACTTTAAACAAGAAATCAGCAATATGAAGCCGACTTTGTTGTGTTTAAAAAATGATGCCACAATTTGCCAAGTGAAATGCACTAAAAGGCTGAAGTATGGTGACAGATTGAAGTGATCCATCCGTATAACACTTCTCACAGGCTGCTGAGCTGTTAAAAACATAAATGATACCATGTGTTCAAACTAAATCACTCAATGAATTATTTTTAATAGTAATAAAAATGAGAAACTTTTCTGTGATTGCTGTCACTGACTGTTACAACCAGAGACTGAGAGCAGTTGTACTTGTAAATAGCCTTTTGTGCTTCGTGCTGCTACACCTACATAAACCAAAATAGCAGGTGCTTTCAGAAATGCTTACACAGGGACCCATACAGGCTACTTACTTTGCATGAATGTGCTAAGTGTTAGAAATACCTGTCTCGACTGTTGCCACATGACTCTGCTTTGATGGGGCACTTTGCAGTGTGCACTACACTTGAAACAGTGCTGGTTGGTGTTTTTTTTTCAGCACTGTTGAATTATGTAACAGTTTTACATCACATTGAAGTTATTCTGTGAATGTTTTTTAACAACATAGATTAGTTGCATGGTCACAAACTTCCTTATTGTGTCCCCTACACTTCTGAATAACTGTGTATTATTTATATTTCTGCTTGGCTGTCTTGTATTGTAGTTAATGTTACTGGGCCATTGAGGCTGTTGTTCACCTTGCTAGTCTGCAACCTACTGTAATTTTTAGTCTCGGAATGTTGGAGAGGCATAGGTTTGAACCCTGTTCCAGCTTTGGAATCAAAATTATATTGCCCCAAGGAGTCCTCTGCTGCTCAAGGATGGGCTAAGAGGATTCAGCTCATATTTGTCAGACTATTATAATCATCTCCTTTTAATAATATTGCTGACTGTCAGTCTTGCACTTCTTCCAATATCTACCCTATTGCAAATGATTGCACCGTTTGACAATAAATTAAAATTTGATCTGTTTAGGTGTTTTTGTTTGTTTTTTGTTTTTTGTTTTTTTTTTTAAGAAGATTCAGAGTATTAAGTTCCTTCTCTTGGCAGTTTGTATGTGCCGACCTGTAATCTGGTCTCTCTTTTCAGCCAGCCTGTCTGGTGTCTGCCTGGTTTTCTGGCCTGCCTCTGAGCCTGTTTTCCTTCTTATATGGTATCTGTGCTGCAGCAGCCTGACACAGCCCATGTAACCTTGAAAAGTTTCTTTTCTACACCTACTGCTCTAGTCCCCAAATTTGACTTCTGCCAAATAAATCCGACCATTCCCAGCCTTGTGCCACGATCAACACCAAGCCCGAATTGGCTGAACTACACAAACATTCTGCCTGTTCATGCGGTGTAGTCCCAGCCAAATTTTCACCTGCTCAGTGGGAGCAATGTTGACTATCTACCTTTGTTTGCAGCTCAGTCAATACCAGTTTTTAATCTGCTTATAAATACATATTAGACATTTATTACTTATGTAAAATGCTAATTTTGTGAAGAACACAGACTTTATATTTTTAATTTTATATATTTTACAAATTCAAGCAATTAATTATATTATATTATATTATATTATATTATATTATATTATATTATATTATATTATATTATATTATATTATATTATATTATATTATATTATATTATATTATATTATATTATATTATATTATATTATATTATATTATATTATATTATATTATATTATATTATATTATATTATATTATATTATATTATATTATATTATATTATATAAACAATATGTTGTTTACATCGCGTATACATCCATTACATGGCCATACGTGTACACTAGTGTATGTCCGAAGCGAACACGTGACTCTGTCTCTGTAGGTGGTATATGTAGTACTTTACGTCTTCCCGTTAGGAGAGCTTTTCTTCTGCAGAACTCCGTTACCCAGAACCCTTAGCGTAAACGACATCTGTGTTGACATCTGCCGGCAGGCCAACGTACACGCGTGTAACTTTCTATTCTGCAAATCTGCTGGTAAGGTTCGATCTATTACAATGTAGATACGTTTTAATGCTTCTATAGTTGACTTTTCTACTTTGGTCATTTTATCTCAATGATCAAGATCCTACGGGTTCAGATCTAGCTATTTAATGATGAAGCTAATATTAGCTAGCCATACAATCCCATTCAAAGCAGTGTGATGATGTGCTATAATAAGGAAACGTGTCATAAAAACACGTATCCTTCTTACATTAACCAAATTGCAACTGTTTTATAGTCAGATTACCTATTCTTTAAAGCATGGTAGCAAATATATAAAGGATGTTATTGCCTAAAAACTTTAACATACAAAATACATTATGAATGTGTTATTAATGAGTAGTATGTTATTGATCCATTCCCAGTTCAACTCGTTACATGTAAATAAAGACCACTGGGTGTTTTGGGCTGCCATGCTTTCTACTTTGATTTACTATTATACCGTTTCCTTCAGATGACACAATCTGCTGACAGCAGCTAAGTTGTGTTGTGCTGTTTAATGTGTGTGTATAATTTTGCAAGGCAAAGAAGCTGAATGTTCCTTATTTCGAGTCAGTTTTATTTATTTCATATTAAAAAAATATGTATTTCTCTTTCCATAATTCCTTGATAATAACGGGTTTGTGTGCTTCTGTCAGCAATAGATAGAAACCTGGGGTGCCACTGTGTGAATGAGAGCAGTGGACAGCAATGTCTCATCCAAGGCTCACAGGTGCACTTCGCTCCTTCTCCAATGTCTGTAAAAAGGAGGACTTCACAGAACAACGTTATGATCTCAAGGTAAGATTAACTATCAGCACAGTAATGCAGCGATAAAATTACTTTTTGTAATCAAGACAAAAATTTGTTGTGAATCGTAATGACAGAAACTAGACTTTTTAAAAATGGTCTGGTCATAATAAACATCTGATGTTTGGGTGTGTTTGCTACACAGTTGTAGCACATCCCATAAATGTAACATACATCACTACTCCCTGACACTATATGCATATGTTTTGGCTCTGATGATTTTTTTTAAAGGATAAAATATATGATAGATAGATAGATGATGAAGTAGAAAAAATACTGATTTCTTGTATTTACATTTGGTGATCTGGAAAAATAAAAACTGGGGAAAATTAGATTAGAAGGCAAAATATCTAGTACACCCTTGTGCAACTTTTCTTTTCTGACAGCATTACACACTGATCTTGGCTGAAAGGATCACATGGACTCACTGCACTTTCTTTGGCCTTAGTTTGCAGTTTTAAATTCAGAACAAAGGAACAGGATGCCCCAGATGCAGTTTATTAGATTATTCCTGTCTGTGCCCTATGGAGCATTCAGCTGCCTAATAAACCCTGGTTCACTCCCTCTGCACTTTACCATACCACTTTCAACATGGGTTCTTATGTGTTTTTAATTCTTTAAGTGTAGGACACAATCCTCATTTAGTGCACTGCACAATTCATTTATTTAATATAGTAAGTTCTAGTTAAAATACATATTTAATAGCTCACTATTTGAGTAATCGCAGTATCCATGTTTCTTGCTTTTGTCTTTGTCCCTAATGTTAAAGTTTCTCAAAACCTCTGACATTGTTGACTTACTTAAAAAAATAATTAAAAAAACACATGAGAACCACAATGAGACACTGAACTGGAGGAGGAAAACACAACATTGGTTGAAAGCTGGCATTGGCGATAAGCCAGTACGGTGCGTCTTGGCGCTGGATTGGCACATGTTGAGTATTTCAGTGTAATATCGAGCCTGAAACCAATATTTCTACCAGTGTCAGTCATCACTACAACAACAAAAAAACAAGTTATCATTAGGCATCTGTGACATCTCACCATTTGATTGAGTCATCTGAGTCTCTTGGTGTTGTATTTATTACTCATCAATTATTGATCTTCTGAAATTGATTTCTTATAATTTAACAGACAATCGGGGTGCATAGAAACCATTGGATTTCTGTTCATTAATATTATGATGAACATACAGTACATCTGGAATATATACTATCTGGGTTATACTGTATACTGTTTTTGTTTCTGAACTTAAAATTGCCAAAATAATAAGAAGAAGAATGGGGACATTCCTCAGAGATAGTTAGATAGTTCTTGTAAATGTTGTCATCTTTATTACAAATGCAGTGAGGCCCACCAGAGGTTAGTGGCATTTTCTCAGCTCACCTCCTCTTCCTGCTGCTGGGCCAAAGCCATTCCTCTGCTGAACTGTGCACAGCTCAGCTTGTAATTAAAGGGCTTTAGAATAACAATTCTTTATGGAGTGACCCAGGTCCCCTTTTTGGTAATGTCTGACACCACAGCCAGAAATACCTTGAAATATTAGTCACCCTGTCACGCTGTCGTAGTAATTCTCTGCCACTTGGGCCCTAACGTAATGTTGCTGTCTTAGCACTGCTCTGATAGGCATACGTAAATCCTTGAGCTTCTGTGCAATTATTGTACAAAAACATAACAGTCTCATCACTTATACTTACGCGTTGTGACACGTCAGCATCATTGTAGAATTCTCTACACTGATCAGACACTGCCTGATGTTTTGGTTAATGATCTTGTATTAATGGCTAGAGGAAGTCTTTCAGTTCACTATCGTCATTTTCAGTCTAAACACCAACTGTATTTTATTGATTTATTTCTTTTTTGCTTCTTCTCATATGATGTTACCAATTTAACATTTTATCCCTTTTTAGTTTTTTTTAATACTTGTTATTTAGGTTGACATTTAGTTCAAGAAATAGATTCTGTGGGTAAAAGAAGGCAGTTGTCACTCTGACATTGTCATGTATGCAAGCATTTTGTTTTCTTCCGTCATTGACATATGTGCACATTATAATTGATTCCTCCAATTTATTTTCTTCTCCATTTTTATGATGTTGGATCTTGAATTTAATTGACCGTCTACCAATGAGAATACCAAATAAAAATTTGAGTCACATTATTTCAGGGTTGGAGAAAAAGAACCTGTTAAAATGTTTGTATTTATCAAGTCTGACTTTATTTTTTTATTTAAGAAGAGATTTTATATTTCTATACCTCAGTGAAATTATACTGTAAACTAAAGCCTACGTCTTATGACTTCATCTGTTTTACTTATGTGCAGACAATAGCTGTATAACGAGGAATTGTGTTTAAGGGTTGGGGTCCATTTCTCACTAAAGCAGTGTTTTTAAAGCACTGTCTGAAGAAAATGCTTTTCTTTTACTTTGTACTGGACGAAAACTTGAACTGATTTTATGTTTTAAGTTTAGCACCCTTGAAATAAATGTAACTGCTTTTCCTTTTGAAAGCTCATTAAAGTGGTTGTTGAATGCATACAGTAATCCTAGAAATAGGAATTTTGAATAGATTGCGTAGTTATTAGGGTGTTCAAACTATTTTTAGAATTCCTTTCATCTTTCTGTATTCACTCTCACTTCAAGTTATTCCCAAAATATCTAAGCATGAACTCCACTGCAGAATGCACAGATGACAGATGTATTCTACACTCAGATATTTTCAAACAGATTATTTTTACACTGGTCTCTTCCATGTTCATATTGGTACATATATATATACTGTAGTTTATTTAAAAGCATTTTTTAGACCATTCTTAGTAATTTTTCTTTCTAAAAATGTAATTGTTTCTCTCACCGTGTTTCATGTTAGACCAAACGTCTGAAGCGTCAGGAGCTGTTTGCCAAGGAAGGCCTAACTTGGCAGAAGATTGTCCATTTCTGCAGTGAGCATCAGGACAGAGCTAAGCAGCAAGCTGCCAGTCAGGAACTGAAGAGCCTTCTTCTGGCTGCCAAGCAGATTGGTAATCAATTCCTCAGCTTCAAATCCTTTGTCATTTGATCTAATCTATTCTGCTGGGTGGTTGTTTTGCGCTGATAAAAACAATGCTGGAAACAAAAATTCAATCATTTACTCATTTAGATTACACTGCTTGTGTAGGGCATGGTTATGCCTTTGGCAAACCGGCTGAGGGAGAGGTCGTTGTTAGACAATTTCCAGAAAGGCCTTTCAAATCTAATGCTGATTCTTCTTGTCATTGCACATGTCTAGAAAATTATTATGGATTTTATAAGTAAAACGAGACAAAGCCTAGTATTTCAGGTACAGTATTTGTATTGTGTTGCTCCTTCACAGTGAAAACAACAATATATGTACATATATATATACTGTATATCTCTTTACCCAATTTTCTTGGGTAAATACTGTACACTGCCAAGTGACAAGGGAACAACATATTTTTGTTATTGAATGTAATAATATAAAAATAAAGAAAAATGCTATATATATACCTGTGTATATATGAATATATCCAATATAGAATTTGGAATAACAGTATACAGTAATGCAACAATGACATCCTATCATGTCCTATAAGCTGCAGCCATATTTAAAAATGTCCACTTACTCCTGTTTTAAGATGAGTTTGATGTTTGGTACCAACATTATAGTCAGTTATCAAGGTAAAAGGGAAAGATAGGTTTATATATATATATATATATATATATATATATATATATATATATATTTACAGTATCCATTTTTCTTCTTATTTTTCCTCTCAAAAGTAGCAGCATTTGTTGTTGCAGCATTACTTGCATTAGTGGACCCAAAGAAGAAGTGAGCTTTTATGCACACTCGGGACTGCATGAAAGCAGTCATTCTGTTACGCGGTGTGCCACAGCAAATCAAAGGTGGCTGAGCATTTTAATTGGTTTAAATCTTTTTCATCTTATTTTGTTTCCCTCTGCCTCTCCAACCTCCTTCATTCGTTTCTCCCACTGTTCCTCTGACATTTTTGCCTCTAATTGGATGATTACATAGTAAGGGGAAAAAAAAAACTCTAACAGAGCATGGACTGTTTGGATATGATCTCACTGAGGTGCAGGGACATAAACGGTGATCACATACAGTAGCCTCTGCTTCTCAGAGGAACAGCTGCTGATTTTCTTCCAGAGTTATGAATAGCACACAACTCACATTTAATGGCCGTGGAGAAAAGGCTAATGATAATAGAGGGTGAAGGTGATTGTTACAATCTGTAATAATCCTAATAATCACACTCATTAACATAATAATGCACACACATCTCGTACATCCGATGGTATTGAGACTCAACATTTTAACAGGAAAGTAGATTCGCTGTTGTGGCAGATTGGTCAGATTTGACTTACTTAGATTATTCATGAATGGTCAAGATAAATTGTATTTTTCTTCTTCTTTTGTCATTCAAACACATGACAGATGTTAACCAACATCAGTGATTCCCAAAATGGGGATGCAGGTCCAACTGGGGGCCAGAGAGCTATTGGCGGGCACAGCAAACAAGTGAATTTAAATATAATCTGAACCAGTGGCACAGTAGGTTTATTGACCTCAATTGAGTTTTGTGAGAATTAGTTGGAAAAGGTCTTTTAAATACAGTTTAGAAGATTTGAATCAGTACTGTAGTCGTGTCAACATGGACAGGGATAGTATATTCCAAATATATTTCCAAAAGGGGATGCTGCAGAGAAGTTCAAGAACAGCCAGGTGTTAGATTACAAAAGACACATTTTAAAGCTATTTGAAAACACGCTTTGTCATCTATAAACTATTTGTTTTGCCAATACACTTATAACCCTTGAACCTTCAAGGTTAAATATGAATATATTTCTTTTCTGCATGTTGCTAATGAGTGTTCTAATCCTGAATATGAATAAGTCAACAGTGTCATGGTTAATTTCACATTGTTGATTTAGGAAAAAAAAGTCACCTGCTGAATGCCTTTCTCAGCATTGAGTCACGCAGATCCCTTGCTTGAGGTCAGCTGATGAGTAGCATTACTTTTCGCCGCCCATATGTGTATGTAGAATCAGTGTGCAATTGAATTAGCCCCTCCTTTTGTTTTGAATGCACCATTACATGCCTAATTGCTTGTTACTCTCCCCATTGGTAAAATTAGTTCTGGCTTAAGTGACCGTTGAAACCATGCAAACGTGTTGTCTTTTTGTTTTTACAGTGGGGGCTGATCATGGTCAGGAGGCCATTGAAAGTGCTGCTGTCTTTCTGTTTGAGACTTTTCACAATAAAGACCATGTTGGCACAGAGGAGACCAGGTCCATTAGACAAATGTTTGGCCCCTTCCCGTCCGTTGCGGCCGAAACCTCCTGTAACTGTGTGGCTCGGCTCGTGGCTCCGCTTGAAAACTCTAATGTTGAAGATTTTATTCAGACTCACAGCTCCCACCACAACTCCAAGAGGGGCTCCTCCTTCGGACGTAACATCGTCTTCTCATACGACTGCTACACCTTGGACCCTCTGGAGGATTTTCCCTCCTCCAGTTCCCACAAGGACATGAGCCTGGATATGACCAGCTTCTTAAACAAACAGCAGAGTGGGAGGAAGGCCACGTCAGAAGAAGAGGCGACCACCTCAGGCAGAACATCCACCTGTGGGGATGGAGCTGTCCTCAGGGCAGAGGTTGAGAAATATCTGAGCAGGGGCAACATGATCTCATCCAGCCCCGAGGAGCTGTGCACGTCCCTGTTTGAGATGCTGGCCTCCGGCAAGAGTGATGATGAGCTGCAGAACGAGGTTTGAGACATGCAGTTTATCTGATAAAACCAATCCTGCCTAATGTAACATAATCTAATTACCTTACATGACAGTTAAGATTGGATCCTGGCAGATTTTATGAACATGTAAATCTGTTACTGACAACTGTCCATGAATGTCAAACCAAATATTCTTGATCAATCATAATGTAAATGTGGGGCTCGCTGTCTAGGAAAGACTGCAAAAGAGAGCGACGTGGACCTTACAGAACCAAGATACAGATAGTCGGCCATTCTACTGTAACGTAGACGGCGTTTGTATTGATACTTTTTTCCTGACCTTCAACAACAGGCCTTTTGGGTTTGATTCAGATGATGTTTTATGTTGTGTTTTTTAGATGAGGTCATCTCTGCCCTTTAACTCTTGACCTTTTTAGACATTTTTACAGCTCTCTATGTCTATGACCTTCATCTGCAATCGTGACTCAACATGCACACAAGGGCAGAGGTCGACCTTTTGCCATAGTCCTATGAAGAATACAGATTGGGTTTTTTTTCTTAACATTTTAGAAACTTTTTTAGGAGACTGAACACGTATAACTCACAGATCCTATTATTCTCCATAGCCAAGACATCTATTAAAAGAGTCAGTGTCCAGACCTATGATGAAGTGTATTGTTTGGTGACAATTTGAATGACTTCCTTTAAACATTGAACAAACACACACATGGTCATGGTAAAACAGAAACAACAGGTAGGGAATAAGGCAACAGCTGTATTGGTCACTGTTTTATGTCATTATGCTAAAAGCCCCAGCACTATTTTTATATTTAGTTTTGAATTGAATTTAGTTCAATTATTCTGTCCAACAGAATTTTCACCAGCTTTATTTCTCTGTCCTTTAGAAAGTCTGAGGCTTTTATAACGTCTAAAAAGATCCTTAGGAGTCTCATTCTTTTCTTTTCCTGTTTTTTCTTCTCTCTCCCTCTCCCACTCATTTCACTAATAGCTCTCCCATAGAAGCGGAATTTCCAACACCCAGGCTGTTTACAGTCTGTTCCCATTTCCCTCACGTAGTTGACATTTGGAACTGAACTCTCCCACTGACATCTTTAGATGTAATGCCTTGCATGCGTGTGTGTCTGTGTGTTTGTGCGGTGTATATGCTTGGGTGTGTGTATAAAAAAATTAAGAGAAGAGAGAGTGTGTAAGTGTACCTGCAGACTCTCCATGCGTCTATATACCGCCGTGTGACGCCAAAGTCAGAAGTGAGGTTTAAAAGTTCTGCTCTTGGTGCCATTAAAGCTGCCAATGAAAAGAATCAGTTTCCTATTATTTCTCATTATTGACCCTGGACTGCTGGCTTTTTTGCCAGTTGCTTAGCTGGTGCTAAGCAACTGGCAACGAGTGTAGTCGAGTACCTTCTAAAAATGTGTGCACATCTGAATAAAAGTTAGATAGCAGGTTCTGGAAGCCTCAACTTAGTGAAAGTGTTAGCATGAAGGATCCAATCCAGAATCCAATCCTAAATCAGAAAAGGCCAGAATTAAGATTTAATGAGAGTACAAAATTGCTTTGAGCAGTGGTGGGTGACACACCTCCACCACCTCCTACCACCACCTTCGCTTTCTCCTACAGAAAACACTAATGTAACAGAGACAGCCACATGGACCTAAAGACCACAGAGGGAGACAGAGATAACGTGAACAAAGACTATAGCTGACCAGACATCAAGGTGCATCTGTTGTTTTAGTTTCCTGCTGTGCTTGCTATTACCTTCCCTTAGGAGGACAGCCTGACACAGCAGCCCACACAGCCGTATCGTACATGAAATGACTGATAAAAGGATCTTTTTTTCTTCACATTCTTTTCTTCTGGAGATAAAACATCGCTAAGCTGCTCTTAGATCAATTGATTACTGACCTTTCAGACAACACTTTTTTGTCCACTGTGGCTGTTTATGGTTTGTTTCTTTTTTTGCTTACTAAAAGCCAGGTGGTTGTATTTGGGTGGCTAATCGGGAGAACCTGCACCAAACAGATGGTAATAACCAGGTGTTAAGCTGCGGCCTGATCAGTGTGTTTAGAAGTATTGCTGTGTTGTACGTATGTGCACATCCAGAGATACTGTAGAGCAGTGGTCTCAAACTCCTGGCCTGGGTGACACTTCTAGCCCATGAACCTCCCACATCCAGCCAAAACTAGATGTCAGTAATAGTTATATCTTTATTCATATTTGTTTGTTTTATTTGTTCTTTCACTAACATGTTTTAGTTGTTTGACTCTTTGATACTCGTTCTCACAACCTTCTTTCACTTTGTGCTTCGCTCCAGCTGTTTGAGCTGCTCGGCCCTGATGGACTAGAGATGATCTCTGTCCTCCTTCAGCAAAGGGTAGCCATCGTTGACTGTTTCCTCAATAACCCACACGAGAGGGTTAGCTTTCCACCAGGTGAGACTGAACCATGGCAATGTACATATCAATATATATCATATACATCAACATATACTGTATATCAATGTGTACAAATAAAAATAATCTTAATGTACAGTGAACTTGATTTAGCATTTTGACATCTTTGGGACTATATACAATGACTATTCCAATGAGCAATATTTTGATTCAAGAACAAGTCGTATTAGTAAGAGGTCGTACAACAACAGAAAACTGACCTTGAGCTGACCTCTCTACGAAAGAAGCACAAATGTAACACAGTGAAAGAGAGACACTTACAGACAATGAAAAATCTCACTATTCCGTTTTTATTTTTAATACCAAGACAACAGATAGGGCACATAACTGAGGCGAGAGTATTCTGTCCATTTCAATGATGACTAAATGTGTTCTTATAGTAAACTCTGAAGCCTGTTATAGTTGAAGTAGGTGTTAGATATGTGTAACACTCATGTTTTCACACTCAAAGTGTGTGTGAAATGTCTCAATCTTCTGAAAGGCTATTACCTGAAGATTGGCCTTTCGCTTCAACCCAGCTCTTCATTATTTCTTTCACGTACTTTGTGCCATCTAGCAGGAACGATGAAGAACAGACTAATGCCTCCCTTGTGGGTAGGCGGACTATTTCTGTCCCTGCTTTAAGACCTCTCATGAATAAGAAAAATAATCAAATACCGCGCCGCACTAATAGAGAAAACAGCTGGCATGGTGCTGCTGCTGAAGCCAAATAAGCTCAGGCTGTTGTGTGGAATGGGCTTACACTGGCTTTCGCTGTAGTTAATCTGGCACTCCAGGTGGCTTAAAGCAGAGTTTATTGATTTTTGTGTGAGATTGTGCTCAAGGAGGCTTGAGGGCGAGCAGCACTAAAGCAGCTCTCTTAGTACCAGCCTGAGATGTACTCTTTTTAAAAAAAAAAAATGTTTTACTTGTTCCAAATGGCTTTAGTTCTGAAGCAGTAGCCTAGACTGGGGGGGGGGGGCTGTGCAATAAGTAGATTCTGATCTACTAGTAGAGTGCAAAGCGAGTGCTGGTAGATCGTGAGCAATTTGGGAAATAAAATTGTACAAGTAGATATTTAATGTTTGCCTCCACGGTCTAGAGTAGAGCTTCTGATTCGGTCGGCTCGAGGAAACTGAACTCTTAATGATTTCTTCTTGAATGTTTGTAGGTGAATATATTTCTGGAAAGTTGAGGGGTGGATAATTTATCAGTGCCTCAGCTGTGTCCTGATCCATATGCAGGCTCGCATCAAAGAGTGACTGAAGATGAGAGAAGGCTTTTTTTTTTTTAATAATCCCTATAACTATTTAAAGTTGCACAGACTCTTCCATCACAGTTTTGTTAGCTGTTTAAATTCAAGTCTTCTAAATATAGATTTTAATAGTCTACCTCTCATGTTGTGTGTTTGTGTGTGCGTGTTTAGGTGCGTGGGTGTGTGTACACTTTTCCTCATGAGCTGGGAGGTGCAGATGAGTCACTGTTAAATCATTTACAAGGTGAAATCAGATTAGGTCTTTATGTGGAAGTAAGAATAATTATGGTTGTCCAGAGGTGAACAACAACATGACAGACAGCTGAATTACCATTCTATACTGTGCCTTAATGACCCGCTTTAAACGTCATTCTCTTTAACGTCTTATGTGTTCGCTCTGAGTGTAACTAAAAAACAGCAATTATTAAAATGCTTCAGTTGGTTATTTTGGGATTGGAAAAACATTACACCGTTTGCACTATAATAATATAGAACTTACATTAAACAAAATGTCTATTTTTTTGATTATCTAATTTGTTTTTGTATTGTGTATTATACACTAATATGGCCCTCTAATATGGTACTAATGAAAAAATGCTGTTGCTTTGTTTTTGCCTAAATTTTTGCCAAAATAGAGTTTTTTTGTCTCATCAACAATATACTGTTACAAACTTTCCTCACATTGTGGAGAACTTTTGATCGGTGTAAAGAATTTCGCTTGGCAGACAGCTTTCGAGATTAGCGTTGCCTTGACAACTGAGAGTGAAGTCAGAGGGGGTTAAAAAAGGCTGATTCGATTTTCCACTATTTGCATCATGCCATCAGGAAGAGTGGGATTTAGTGGGAATGTTTGTGTGTTGCTGATGAGCTTTCAAATTGCAGTTTGCAGCTCGGTATTTGCATGTTTATCAAAGTGGCTTCCTTCTAATTTTCAACGGGAAGAAAAGGAAGTGCTAAATGGAGATGACAATTAAAGAAATAAGCAGGATTAGTCAACTAAATATTGTCTAATCAGCTCCCAAACTTGTTTTGTATTTTCAGACTCCTGAAGGGTGATATGTTGTATTTTCTTGTTCTAGTTTGTGCAAATGACTAAAAATTGATCATTTTGCATATTTCATATTTTCTTTGCCTAAAACAGTGTGAATAAAAATGAAATAAATAAATAATCAAAACTGAAATCAGTTTCCCAAACTTGAAGCACCTTGATAAATACATTTAATTTGTTTATCTGACAATTCTTTACCGAGGCCTGAATCTAACTTATCTCAATAATTAGTTGCATCATGCTAATTATGGTAATATGAAGCTGTTGTAGATAATATTGTCTAGACTTTGTTTAAAATCACTGCCTCTGAATTCTGGTGACTTGGAATCAGTGATCCAGAGGCATTTTTGCTTAGTGAGAGGAGAGGTGAAGGACTGGGAATTGGTGAAACAAAAGAAATGGTGGATAGAGGGTGACAGAGTTAAAGGGGTTAGAAACTGGAGTGGTAATAGGAGGAACGGGGAAAGTGACAGGAAGAGGGGGGCCGGTGGAGGGGTGCGGGGATGGGGGGTGGGCTGAACTGAGAGGGAGGCCGTGCAGCAGGTAGAGCTGCTAGACGAGATAAAGAAGAAATCATTCAGTCAATCAGCCCGGGCCGTGGAACAATCATCAGATCTCATCTGTTTTCAAGAGCAATTCAGTCTTTTATTGAGCTGTTGTGCCTCAAACAGGGAGGCAGCGATAGGGAACATTAACCCCTGCACTGCCATCAGCACCTGACATCAGTGGGCAGTCATATCAATCAGATTTTATTGATACTGCCTGAGCTTTTGTTGTCTCAATGTCACCAAAGCGTTGTATTGTTCATCCACAGATTAAAACTGTATATCTGCATCTGAGGCTCCAGTTAAATCCTCAGTCTATATCAGGGGTGTCAAACATGTTTCTGCAATAGATTATTATTTATTCAAGCTACACATATTGTTCATTGCTTTGTAGAGGAGAGTCTTGAATTTTCCTAAATTAGTGTTATTCATTTTAAGCCGAGTAATGCATTTCTATTCTTTGCGTTTGTTTTTTTCCACTGTTTTCTTCAGATTTCAGTCAAAAAGTGGAAACGACCAAACCCATGTTTGGATGCCAGGTGACCATTCAGTCAGAGCAGGAAAAACAGATGATGAAGATGTACCGCAGGGGGGAGAAGAGAGAGAGGAAAAGAGGGAAAGGAGCAGAAGACAGCGACGCCTCAGATGCTTCTGTGACCTTTGACCCCAGAGAGATGAGAGCCCAGCGGTATTTCATCGCTCCTGACTTTTTTCTTCCTCTTTTTTTTTATTTTTTTATTTTGCTCTCAGCTGGTCCGTCTGCCTCTCTGTGTCTGGGTTCAACCCAAGTTTCCACGACCAAACCAACAAACGATTTTAAATAAAACTAGAACTTTACAAACATACGAAAAAAAAAAACCAAAACACTAATGCTGTAGCTTGCATAATTTTACATATTTTTTATTTCAGAAAATAAAAAAGACCAGTGATCTGTTTAATTAGAATCTAAGCAGGGCCAAATCAAGCACTGTCTGCAGAAGAGATGATTAGAGAGGCAAGCTTCTCTAAGAAACAGAATAATGCTTCGTATCTCTTCTACATTTTTCCTTTAAGACCAAAAAATTGGATGGAGATGAAGCTTTGTTTATGACTGCGAGTGATTTCAGATGTGAAATTAAACCTATTGTTGTTCAACTTAGCAATTCATATAAAAAGTGAATTCTTAATTTTTTGAGTCATCGTTCTAACTGCAGACAATCTATACATATACACCAAATAACTGGCTAACAGCTAACAGTTTAAGCGACAAAGCACAGAGTTTCATGTTTGTTTCATCACCATTTTGTGTTTAATTGAACCACATCTGGCGTACAGTTCTTAAGTATTTGTGCTGAGTGACATGTCGTTTTTCTCTTACAGGGAACAGGCTCTTCTCACCGCACGGCGGGAACCCATTCTGAGCAGAGATAGAACCTACGAACGTATTCAGTATCCTAACGTTTACGACATCTATGCAGAGGCCATGAAGATGCCTGCGTTTGTTGGAGGAGCCAGGGTGAGACGTGTGTTGTTTGTTTGTTAATCATCTTCTTTTAGATTGTTAAAGATCTCGACGTGGCTCCACCAGATTTTCCTTGACATTGTTGTCCGACTCACTAAATTACATCATATTTTTCTCGAACTTATAGAACAGTGGAACAGAAGCGACCATACTCTGTATATATACTATGTTTTTTACGTTTCCTACCCATAACATAGTGTGTTAAAATCATAAAGGTCATTTCTGTCTTTTCTGTTTGTGGCTGTCAGGTTCTACTCCCAGAGGGAATCCGCAGAGAAAACAACAAGATGTATGAGGAGGTGGAGATCCCGCCCAACGAAGCCATGCCGGTCGGCTTTGAAGAGAAAGCAGTCTTCATCTCTGAACTAGATGAGGTACGAGCAGCTCTGTGTCTGTGTCTGACCTTATGTTCGGTTGTACGGTGTTCGCGGTAGTGGCATTTCTGAACAGAATTATAACACTGTTTGTGCAGAGGTGATCATATCTGGGTTTATACAACTGGTGTTATTACTGAATTAGACATATTGTCAATGTGATGTATTTCTAAATGAACTCTGCTCACCAGCCACACAAGGTATGACCGTGATAACGTCATCTTCGTCTGTCCTTGGCAACTTGTTGTGCTTCACCTTGCATTACTTTCAGCCTGGTTTGCACATCAGTCACAGTTTTGGTCTTCAAGGCTTTCTATTGTCTGGCTGAAATCAAAGCAGCCTTGGTTAAAGAAATAAAAATGTGTATCCGTCCAAAGCATGTGGATCAGCCACTGCAGTCTTCTCTGCTTTGCGTTAGTGATGCTATGTGTTTCATTTATTTATTTATTTTAGATCTTTTGGGAATTTGTGATGCATTTTCTTTAAACTTAGCTTTGCTCTTTGTTCCCGGCAAAGACTATAACTACACTTTGGTGAAAGTCATTAACGTCTGATTACGCAGAGGATTTTTAAATTGAGCCTGGAAGTTCTGTAGTTCGGATTTTGAAGCATTTCTGGTACACTTTGCTCTCGAGCGTGCAGCTTTTGCTTTAAAGATTGCACCAAGTTTACTGTTACTCTCATGATATATTGTTTTTGCAAATCCAAATTCTAGCAGAGTTCTGTGGGTATCTTTATGTCTGTTTTTATTGTGCAGCCAGTGTTTATTAACCAAACAGTGGGGCCGACCCATTTTAACGTCATCAGTAGTTGGTATGACTACATACTGACCCATCCACTGCCTGAACAACTTCAAATGAATCTGCCGATGCCCTGTTTCCCTCATACTTTAAGTTGGAAAGAGCTCCTCCTTTGTTATTAAAGTTATAATCACCTCTGTTTAAACTCAAAATTGCTGCCATGTGTTTTAATTCAGGAGAATACAGGTCATCCTTACCCAGTTAGATAATATGGTCTCTGAGAGATTATATCCAAACCTATATACAATCTATGTTTAGAACATGACATATGTAGAAGACGGAAACAAATTGATTCAATTAAGAAAATCCAGGGCAGGCATAATTTCCCAGCTCTGCATATCACGTTGGCGCATTTGAAGTGCGTCAGTATGTACAACTCAAACACTTTCCTGCCTACCTGCTCTAGTGATGGGAGAATTTGCTCCTGCCCAGAGTTTATAAATAGTCTCCACCATCCTCCATCTGAGTGTGCAGGACTTTGGCTGCGATGGCCAGTGAGTGATGTTCCTTCTTAATGGAAGTGCTGTAGCTCTCAGCCACCTGTCAGCTGACACAAGGAGCCGTCAGTCTGGCTGATACCATGACTGACAAACCCACACTCAAAGCAGTGCCTACATTTCCCCTGGCCCTCAGTCTTTACCCAGCCGCCACTGGGTCATATTAGAGGGCAGCGGACTGAAATAACTAGAGCTGTTTTTGATCCAGCCCTCAGGGATGAGGTGTGACTGGATGGTGGGAAAAAAAACTCTACACACATAAGAATCTTTGAAAGCCTGTGCTCCCATCTTTCCTGCCCTGAAAGGCTTCACAATTCATCATTAATACTTCACTGGTGAAGATGCATCAGTGCAAAAGGTCAACACTTTATCTACAAATGTGGCCGTTTGTTTATAAACCTCAGGAGCACTTTGTCACACTTTTGGGGAACTAGTGTTAACTGTTCATCTTTCTTAACCTTTCTGTCACTCATGCTAATGGATGTAATGATAAACAAGATTCAGCTTCGGTGGATGTGAGTAACTGAGTGTGCATATGTCCTGTGCCATGACAAATTGATGATGGGACAGTTTAATCACATCCACACTGTTGCTCATGGTGGAGTGCTACGGGATCAGGTGTGTTTCTGTGCACTTGCACATTGTGAGTCCTTAGGTTGTTGTGGTGCCTGTCAATTTCGATTCTCATCAATGTAATATTTGAGGCCTTGGCCCTTCATCTTTTCATTAGATATAGTAATGGTGTCCACCGACACACAAAGAGACAAATAGCTTTTTGTGTAATGAATAACAGCGGTTATCAGAGCAGGAGACTGGAGGCTGCGTCGCAGGGACAGAATAGAAAATGTTTAAGTTGTCTGTTAGAACAGACAACTTTTCCTGGAATTCAGACAACAGACAACTTTTCCTAGAATTCCTTACAGATGAAACTCTTTATTCTTTCATAATAAACCATCCCTTAGTGAGAGACAACCTGGACTGAACACGGACAAGTGTCTACAACAGGTTTGCTTTACTGCGCTGTTTCTATAGTTACAATCACTCAACCGTGGACCTTAAATGTTCCAGCGTAAAACTCTGCAAAACACCAGCTTCTCAGTCTGCCCTCAGGAGTGCTTTGTTGAAAACACTTTTTTTGTTTTTTGCCGCAGTAAATCCATCAATCACAGAATTTTCACACTGCAGTTAATGCCACTATGGTCTGTGGCTCATTTCAGAATCACATTTGATTTAGTTTAAAAGGTAGGAAACATGTAATGGATATCCTCCACTGATCTGTTCATTATAAACCAACAACCATAATCAATTTCTTCCCCAACATTTGTTACTTGTCAGTTTTTAAGTTTTTTTAAGAACATTTTAACATGTTTCTAAAAATCAGAATGCTGATTTGTTTTTGGCCATTTATAAGTACAGGTTCCACAGGGAAATGCCTTCTGATTGGATGCCTAGAAAGTTGGATGCCCAGGGAAATGCCTTCTGATTGGATGCCTTATAGCTCAAATTAGAAAGTTAGAAGTAAACACTCGTTGTATATTGTAGTGAAATGCAGACATACTGGTTAATCTTTGCAAAGAAGGTGGTCCATCAAGTCCGGTAACTTGATGGATACTGCATGGGTACTTTATCCTTTCTCTTTTTTATGTGTAGATGATGTTGGTTTACTCCTAGTTGTCTAATTCCTAAAGGAAGGATAAGAGTACTACAGTACAGAAGTGACCGCCATCAGTTAAATATTCTCCCACGGCGTAAAGCTACACAAATTCTCAAAGGCTCCATCTGCGTCTACTCCTGCTTTCTGAGAAAGTTATCTTTTTTAGCCCCTCAGTTTCTCCTGAGCACACCAGCAGTTTAATCTTTGGACCAGCTCCTGTAAGTGATACAGATTGATATGCACGCTCATCTGCTGAGCTGTGTGAATTAGCCTCAGTCAAGCAGTGGCTCTATTCATTAGCCTAAGCCTCGGCAACTCTGGAATAAAGTGCCTCAGTACATTAAAGTGCCAGCAAACAATGCCTAATAAGTCTTTATGTGCTATTAGGCAGGCTTTGAAAGACGGTCTGAAAAGTGTAATGCCCTCATCCTGCTCGCCTCCTGCTCTTCACACAACATGCAGCTTGTCATTTATCGAGAGCTGTAATAGGAAACAGCAGTGTACATGTTTAATGGCGCTGGGAAACATTAATCATCGGAATTTATTAGAATGCTTTTTAACTAATGAATTAAGGTCTAGGTGCCTCACTCTGCCCGCGGTGCTGAAAGCCTGCCTAACCTATTTGAATAAATGTGATGCCAAGTGTGTTATGATGGAGAGCAAACGCCAGTCATTAGGTGCCTCCAAAAGTACCGGAGAGGAACCTGGATCCTGCACTACTATGTTCTGCATAAAACTAAGAGAAGAATGGCTATTTAGTCAAATAGAGATGAAAGACCTGGCAGCAAACAAACCACACTTCAAATGAACTAGTAATTGATAGGCATCCAGTCAAGCTGCTAATGCTCATCCAAGGAATGACTGTTACTGCAGGGAATGGTCTGGGAGGAAAAAGGATTACAGGAAAACTGGAGGCTTTGATCTGTAGGTGCATTTGAAAAGCCATTGTGGGCAAAGGGTGGCAAACAGCTCCAAGTAACAAGTGAATTCTCCTTCATAGATATACTTGTCTTTCTGCCTGACATATGTTCTACCATATATATATACCTTTCAATACAGAATATTGTTAATGTATTTTCGTAAGCTCAGATTTTAGTCATTACTGTGCGTCTTTATGGTGGGTTGGAACATAGGACAAGGGTTGCTTTCCACACTGTCTTCTCAAAAAGTAATGTAAAGACAGCTTTACAGAACTGTCACTTGATATATATATATAAAACTTTTTTTTCTTCAGTATTCATTTTAGACCCTTTCAACATGAAGCTTCTATCTTTATTACCTTCACTCAACATCCCAGGTTTGTCCACTTCAACCTCACCATCTCTAGTACAGGAAGTAACGATGTAGTATATGAGCACAGCAAAGACCAGGCAAGTTGAACAGCTCTTCATCCATAATTAATCCACCTTGATTGCATTTCCTAATCCACTTTTGATGTGGTTCCACCACGGCACACACATGTGCCTGGGTGTCTGTGTGTGTGCTTAGAACTTGCCAAGTAATATCTCTGAGTCCTCAAGACGGAACTGTGGTCTATTCCTGTGAGGTATGTTGCTATTAAGTGTCTCAGCATGGTGTCATCATTTGTCTGACAGCGGTCTGGATGTCACTGATCTGAAAGGTCTGCTTCGTGTTAACTCAAAATACCGCCTAGATTATAAAGGCATTATACTTATTACGTTGCAATGTTTGTCCTAGGACAGTGAAGTCATCACTGGCTATAGTACAATGGGCCATATTTGTTGTTTTCTGTTTTTATAATTGGGCTGCATCATCACATGCTCCCACAGGTTAGAGATTTATGGTAAATAAAACACTAAAATCAAGCTGTGTGGTCACAGTGAACCAATGAAATACTTTGTAGGTATCATTCTTTGTGTTTTTGAAGTGTAAATAAATACGTTTGTTGTTGTTGAACGCTGCGATATGCAGAGGGGTAGACCTCTTTGTGTTTGGTTTTGAGGCTCATACAGCTTTGAGTGCTTTCTCAGCACATGCCTATGGATGAAGTGATGGATTACCTCACTTTTTGCTATCTCTGTCTTACTC